GACCAGTGGGGTTTAGTGCAGTCTGGAGACAACTCTCTGCCTCAAAAATTGTGACCGTCCGCCATGATAGTGAACGTCTGTTCTATCTTAGTAATCTCAGAACCAAATAGCATGAATAAGCATTTCATTCAAATTTTAAACTTTTATTCTCTTTTATGTTCACTAAATCAGAATAAAAAGTAGAAAGTACCCAATATTTAATATTCTGAAATTGCATCTTTAACACAGGTTAGTGCATGGTGAAAATATGGGGAGTGTTCATGGTTTGCGTATCATTAATAATTTCGTTAGATCGATTTACAGCAAATTAAAGTCGTCGGAAACTTTAAAAAAATATTATTCAATCAAGTTATGGCTACCAAATAATTTCTCATTAAGTTTGTTGACGTTCTTTACAACTGAATGCTACGCAATACTTTGACATTATCGTCGACAGAGGCGATTGTAAGCATCACTAACAACACACAAGATACATTTAACTCGCAAGAAAGTCTGTAGGTAGACGTTCATCGCAGTCAACCTAACGTAAAACGACCATCGCAATTTTCAGTACTTGGAAGCATTGCAGTTGTGCATCCAGCTATAGTGTTGAGATTAGTGTTCCAGACGCTCCTTGCGGGAAGCCATGTATGGGCTGGTGCATTTGACAAGTGCTTCAAGTGGTAACTGCCCACTGGTACAATTAATAGTAACAACTCAATTTCCAATTGTGACTCGTACGTGAGACAGTGATTCCTTCCTTTCTATACACAACGATACTAAAATATCTTGTGCAAGTAGGCCTAGTACAATTGCTGAGATATGAGAGATATTCGTTTAGTAGCAGTTACTAACGTAAAAGTTTTCGATAAATGCGCTTTCATGCTATTTGAGAAAACAATTCCCTATCGACCTAAGTGGCAATGTTTCACGTTCAAGGTGATTGTCAAATATTGGCATCCCTCCGTTTTGCCAGCCCGAGTCTTTTCACGCATTTCCGATCCGTAAGTATCAAATGTGGGGGCAGCGTATCCAAATAATCGTTGCATTTCTGCAAAGCAATTCTCGCCTTTGAGTATTACAACCTCTGGCGAGTACCTACTTAAAATCGATCCATCGAACGTGCTATGGCAGGGTGTGTTATCGAAAACGAGATCTTACCTGCTCGAATCGACAACAGTTCATTTCCTAGCTAGGACTCTTTAGGGCAGCGCGAGAAGCTAAAATGTTTGCCTACTGTACGGAACGCCAACGTCACCGTCTTTGCAAGCGAGACATGTGTAATCGATTTACTGTCTCATCTGCACATCCACAATTTGTTTATTTATTTAATATCAAGAAACAGTTAAAAATGGCAATGATGTTCTAGTATTTTGTGCACGTGTTTGTAAATCCTTGTATTCCAACCACAACCAGTTCACAAGTTGAGTTACGAATACCGGTAGAAACGAGAGTTTTTAGCAGACATGATACGAAAGTGTTAGCTCCAGTGTAATAAAAGAACCATTTGCAAATGAAAAAGCTACAGATTGTGACTATTATCCCTCATCGTGCCCTTTGAGAAGGAATCAACTTTCTGTCGCTAGAACATGGAGAACGTCAATTTCAATATCCGCTATATTACTCATTGAACTCTAGAAAACGTGTACAGAGTGTGTAGTTACGTTTATGCCCAGAAGAAAAACAAGGAGCCATCTCAGAAATACGCTCAAAGGATCAGGGAAACTGGACAAAATTCCTGATCGAGATGGGTAAATATAAGAAAATAAGCCGTGCAGTATGTACCATACGTCACTCAAAGTACTAATGCAAAGATGGACTGAATATTAATACATATTTTATTAATTAGTAGTATTATTTTATTATTAAATTAATTAGTTAATATTATATTTTAGTTAAATGACGTTACATGCTGCTTTAGTAAGTGACCCTCTTCTGACCCGCATGAAAGAAATTTTACGATCAAAGGGCAGTATTTGCATCCCTCGGTCTTGCTGCCCGAGTCTATCCACGCCCTTTCTGTGCCCCAAGTGTCGGATACAGGGGGGCTGTAGCTTAAGGGTTAAATACCTTACTTTTCTGCACTAATTCACGAAACCTTCTTCATATAAAGGATGTTTCATGACATTGAATGCGCTCTTTACCGTCTTGTGAATATTAAGTTAACCAAAAAGTATCTTAGGCATTTCGCTATCAAACTCGATTATAGATCATTTTCTGAATGAGCTACATTTTTCAGAGGTATCTGTTAATTAAGGACAGCTAGCAAAATTCCCTACAATGATACGTTACACTGTATTCCATGCTTTACGAGAAAGTTCCAAACACATGCTCCAAGTGGTACAAATACTCACCAAAACCTGCGACGTCTTTTGGACTGTAAATAATATTGTATGAGCAACATATTCAAACTGATAGCAGGATAGCAGCAAACAAACCGGGTATTGTTATCCGGGTTTTGGAAAAAAACGTGTCTACTTGTAGGTGTAGCAGAGCTATGCAATCGAAACGTAATCAGGGAGGCAGCAATCATATAGTACATTATTGGGAGGCAGAGAAACCTCTCAAAAACAAGAGTTTGGAAATCAAGATCAGCCGAATGTGAGACGCAAAAAAGCATAGGTCGTCCCGATGGTTATTGAAAAATTTTTTAAATACTCAAAAATATCAAAACACCTATTTTAAATAGTAAATTTAGCGAATTGGGGGGTCAGGGATCAGAAAAATGACAGCCATCTCTTCGCACCATCCGGGGCCCTCTGCTGCTGTAGCGTGCCGAAAAATTAAGAAAATGTCAAAAAAAAAGGTGGTGGTGGAGATAGATGGCAGCTGGCAAGAGTGCATGGCAAGTCTGAATGGCTAGCTGAGAGCAACGAAATAGAAAACTAATGTGGGAAAGTCTGTGCCTTTCTGTAACGCCCCTAGTTCTTATTGCTATTGCCATTATAGATTCTTAAATTTTTGGTATATGGTTATTAAGTAGTACAATAATCAATATGACCCATCGTATAAAATTGTTATTGTACATGTAACTCAATAAATATTAAGTATGAGATAAATTGTATACATTTAGATAAAATATCTTGTTCTATTCCAGGAGATCCAAGACAGCCATGGCTATGGAATCACTATACGATGTACCCACAACTGCACTGGTTTCATTTCACAAGCAGAATGAAAAATGAACACCTGAAATATCTTCCTACCTACTTCCGCCAACAACCAACAAATAGAGAACAAAGATCAACAGTAAATTTCTCTATTTCCAGAAATAATTTGTGGAAGTAAATAAACTGGAACTAATTGCAGTTTTTGAAGTAGAAAATTGGTATAATAAGTTTATGAGTGCTGTATCAATAAAATTCCCAATAAAATATATACAACAGTTGTCTTTTATTAGAGAACATTTTTATACTACATATTAAAAAGATGTATGGTCCATCAGTGAATAATAGGAAAGATCACAGAACACTTGAACTATTTTTCCATTTTGCATTTGTGGCTACAGTTGTCTTAAATAGGTTGAAAATTAATATTACCATATTAAAAATGTAATGAGCATGCTTGAAATTAAATATAAACTAGTGGTGCTACAAAATGGCACTGACTTTCTCTTACTACTTGGATTAATATTCTCTTGTATCTGAGTTAGCTTTTCAGTATTGCCCCACTCTCTTCCCAGCAACTATCAGTGTCTTAAAGTCTTAAAAGATATTTATTTGGTTTTACATTGTCTCAACTTTTCAGTTCTCTAATAGTAAAACTGAAATATGACTTTACGAATATTGTTGAATAATGAGTCGAGATGCAAATTTTCATTGAAATGTTTCAAGCAGTTTTTGAGAAAATGTTAATTGAGCATTTCTGAAAATTGACAATTTCAGAAGTTTATTTTGAGTTCATTTTTACAGAACATTTTTAAGTTTTTGAGGAAATTCATTCTAAGCATGAGTACTCACTAATGCAACAATGAAAAAAATCCCCCATAACGTAACTATGAACGATGTGAGATGTATTTTAAAAAACTACAGTTAAATTACATTTGTGTAATCATTGAAATATCAAAAAGACTACAAGCAACAGGTATTCACTGATTTCATTAATTACTATTATCAAATTATTTTATTTCAAAACCATATCACATTCACAATTAGTTCAGTCAAGTTGATTCAGCCTCATAGACAGAGGACGGGGACAGGCAAGTGGAAGTAAGGGGCCAATAAGGCTCTTGAAGTAACTCGCAGAAGCACAGTGAGGTCAAGAAATACCATGGACAAAAAACGTAAAGAAATAGGTCCAAAGTAGGCTTATGCAACATTCAGAGTGTGTAGTGGTGCTCCTCTCCTCACCACCATAGATACCTGCCTCCAATAGTCTTTTAAATGTCAAAGAGAATAGGAAACTGACACGAGAGACTGCCTTTCTGTAGCATCACTAATTTTGGTACAAAGGACTCACAAAACGTGAATTCTCACTACACAATGTGTTGGAGGAAATAATTTATTTCATACAGTAACAAGAATTGTCCAGATTTGCGATATAAGAGACCTACTTAACATATTTCTGCCAAATTTTTACTGCAACATTACATAGTTTTTTCTATACTACACATGTAGTATGCAAGAAAGAAAAATTACAACTAAAGATTTTTCCTTAATGAAATTGATTCTTCAAAGACAGCGCTATAAATATGGTACGGACAATTTTTAAAAAAATTGAGATTATGCGGCAGAAATCCGCAATTTTTCATCAGACACTTACTGTCAAGCCCTGGGAACAAAAAAGGAGGTAAAACTTGTTTTAATACCTTCTTCCATTTTTGCCCAGAACCAATTGTTTATTGTCAATTTAAAGGGGTATAAAACTTCGTTACCACAATTTTCCCTTCCACTTTTATTAGATTTCGAACTAATCAAAAATGTTTGAAACGGAATTATTCGGTTTCTTTTAAGAAAACAATATTATATGAAAAAACACTTATTAGCACTGAAAGGTTATCTAAGAATATAATCATCACAATATGAAATATAAAAATATAATTTATTTCAAAAACATTCAAGTAATATTTACAATTTGTAATTAAAGCTTCATACAAAGATTAAAGTACATAAATAGACCATACAAAAACACAAAACTAATTATCACTTTCAATGGCTCACATTACGCTAAATGCATTCAATAAAATCTCAATAATGTCACACAAACACTGCAAACACCATCTCCATTACTGTTGGGCACAAAATATTCGCCCTCAAAGCACATGAGTACCCAAAACCACATTTACTGGGAATGTCACAAACTTACTTAAATACAAGGACAACAAAAAATGCTTCAGTAAGTTACATTACACCACTATTAAGAAAAATAAAGAATACTTGCCCTCACCAGACATGTCAACATACTGCAATATTTCAAGTTTTTGACAATATGATGTTTGTAGAGGAAACATACTTGCATTACTTTGGGATGTATTCCAAGTCAATTGCAAATCAAAAAGTTAAAAAATCATAAAAAATATTTATCCCCCACCACTACACGAAAAAGACATTTATTGTCTTGACAACATTAACTTTTTCTAGTAAAATGAAACATTTATTATTGAACAAATTCCATTACATTTTTGATACATGCAACAATTTGTTTATGAATCCTTGACAATAATCTCATTACAATAATGAGTTCTATTCACAGAAAAATATGCTGTTTTTTCCATTTCAGACAAATGATCTAATAATCCATGGGTTATTATCAATATTATTTTGTCACCTTTCCCAGCATGAAGCCAAACCAACAGAACAAAAGTCCAGATATATTTCTTGATAGTGTTATAGGGTGATGATTAATGGCAGGAGTTGTATGTGCCGATAGGTTTAACGAACTCATTTTTCTCAAAAGTATGAAAATGGCACTTACATCCTTTTTTATTTCAAGCCTTCAATTTCGCAATTAAAATTTTATTTTTCTGATAACACAATTTGCATGTAAAAACATAGTCAATTTCTTTACATCTCCTTGACAACAACAATCTCATTAGAACAATGAAATATGCTATTTTGAAGCATTCATGTAATACAATGATGCTTTTTAATAAATTCTCACTTTCATTTACATAACAAAACTTTATTTCAGCCGGTCTGGATGGCCGAGATTGCTAAGGCAGTAGTGGTCGCTAATGACCTAGTAGTTGATGCGACCTTAAATAACAAAAATTACAGATAAATTTTATTCACAGAAGAAAATTATCTTTCTCAACTCCAAATGGACTAAACTTTTTCCCTTATGAATATTTTTATTTTTGTTCCATAAATTAATAATACTTTCATTTAATCTTTTTTGCTTTTGCTTGTACAGTGGTAATGGATACACGGGAGTCAATATTTTTCATTAATTTCTGAAAATTATCACCCTTTCAGTTCATTAAGTACCTTCAGAAAAAAAATCAGTACCACAGCTGAATTAAAATTGTAGCAATCAATAGTTTCTTGAGACTTGGGAGGCAACTAGCAAGCAAATAACTGATTACAGATTAATACTTGAGAGAATCATGAACTTTTGATACATCAAATCATGCAGAAAAATTTGTAAAATTTGTAAATGTTGATTTTATTCAACTGAATTCAAGAGGAAAATATATTACAGCTGTTAGCATATGTAGACAAATTTTTAGAGGCTTAAGATATTAAAAAAATTTAAGAACTGAAGTAAATTGCATCATGCAGCAATTACATTTGAATCAGTTTGCAAAACAAACACTTGCTTTATTTTGAATTTCACCCCTCTTTTAGCAGAAACAAAGTACTTTTAATTCATCTATATTTGTAATAGAAATCAACATGGTACAGAAATTTCCCTTTTTAAATATATTAACAATACCTTTACATAATATTCATCCATCAGAAACATACATTTAATTCTGGACGTAGTATTTTGGCAAAATTATACTATGTATACTACAATGGCCTCTTAAAATATCAAAGTAAATCAAAATTGTGAAAATGATCTCTCACAGGGGCTCTAATAATTAGATTAAAAATCTAAAATTAATTTAATTAGATGTATATTAGGATACGTGAATCAAAAGTAATAGTTTATTAAATGGCCACATACCTAACTTAAGTTCTAAAAGCAGCCATCTCAGGCTTTTAAAGAGCCCAAACGGATTTTAACCGTAACAGAGACTTCCTAGGAATAGACCTAGTCAGCATATTAAGAGCCCTCATGAAATTCAGAAAAACATTCAAATATAGCTTCGCTGTGATCAACTTTGATTGGTCTTCAGAATAATATATTAAAATTACAAAAGGTTTTTTATTCAGAGGGAATTAAATTGTTTTAATTATTGAAATTGTTCTTGATTAATAAATAAAGTGCTGATATGGTTCTAAGACATTTTGAATGATTATTTAATTAGTTTGTAAATTGCCAAATAATAGTGTTGTTCTTTGCTTTGGATCTACGACACATGCTCTGAGAATGCTTCAATGCTAATTCTATGTTAAAAATCATAAGATGGGTATTAAGTAAAAATATAGGTCTAAAGGAAGACATTAATCAGCCTTGGAATATTCAATAAGCCTTAAGTCTGAAGTATATAAGGAAGACTAGTGAACTATTGAGTATGCTGAGAAACCCTTCTGTTATTACATTTAGAGTACATATGAAATAATTTTATCTTCTTATAATTTCTTTCTATGCCCCAAACGTACATTTGAGAAGGATCTCAGGGTATAACCTCCACCAAAAAGATCTGTTCTATTGAACATCTTTTCTCAATATGCTTTTATCTAAAAGAATAATAAAAACAAAATATCTAAATATTCATAGTAACACTTTTAAAGCCATAATAAAATCCAACTACTCACTCAAAATATAACTTACTGATATATCACTATAAATAGTTTTATGTTTGCTTAAAACAATTCTTATGAACATGTTCTCTACATTATATTACAGTTGTAATAAAAAAATTTATTGCTGCTGCAGCAATGAAATCAATATGAAGTGTTTTGCATTTACAATTTAGATATCACTCCAGCTTCTTCAAGTTAATTGAGAGAAAAGAATAAGAAAATTAGAGAACAAGAAAGTTGCATTACTAAAACAGAGAAACAAAATTGCACAAGTTGGCTTGCAGACAACAGAAATCTCGGAAAGTGTATCATGAATTTAATATGATTTGTGTGAGGTGATCACCACAGATGGGTGTCCTGCAGAGAGTTACTAAGTTTTGCTACTATATATTGCTTTTTAATAATGAGGTAAATGCAAAAATAAAGAGAGAGTGACAAATCATTGCACAGAGTAATGCACAAGTACGGAGCCATGGTGGGGTGCCAAGCAAGGACAATGTCGCAGGCAAGGACAAACTCCACGAAAATGCCTGCAAATCTGTTTTGACCACACACAAATTCCACATTGCGTGGTTCAAGGATTTGAACTCTGAACCTTGAGGTAGAAGGTGAACTTCTTGTGGCTGATTACTACACCAAGAATTGCCCATTGCTTCATAAATTTATAAAACAATAACTAAAAGAAACTATTTTATTAAACAAACAATAACTACATAGAAATAATATTCTGCAAAAAAGAAGAGTTATATGGCAAACTAATTCTTAAAAAAAATTAACCAACCAATTAAAATCAGTATTTGCAAGTAACAACAACAGTTATGATAATATGTTTGTTTAAAACTGTACAAGGGGAAAGATGAACAATGAAAGTATTTTCTGAATCATCAAGCAATGGTATACTCTGAGTAAGAGTATATTTCACCAATCAACTTCAGATTATAAAATGGAATGAAGATTAAATTACATAATATTTTCAGATATGCATCAACTAATTTTATTGATAGCATTTGTTGATTTTTTTAACTTTCCCATGATTTCTTATATTTTCAGATTAACTGAATGGCAATAATACCTCCATTCTTTAATTCTAGTAGACTATTTCATTCACTTTGAGCTCAGTAACCAATATTCACATATGAATTTTTAAAACTATCAGTTTTGACAAAAAAGGAAGACAAAATAAAATAACTTACACAATGTCATTCATTCCATTATTTCTCTAAAATTTTCACAGCTAAAATATTTTTATTGTCAGCAACCATTAACAAGAAGCCTTATTGGGGAGTAAGGTGACCAGATCTTAAAAACCAAAAAAAAGGACATTGTGATATTTCCTTAACTAAAAAACAGGACATATTTTCTTCCATTAAAATTGCTTACTAAGTTGCAAAGAAACTCAAATAAGCAGCAGCTCCAGGTTATTGAATTTCTCGGTAACAATATTGATAAAGCATATACAAGCTCAAGTGATGCGATAGCTCATATTCTCTTCCTAGCACAACCACTGACTCTCCCTTCTTGACTTCAAGTCTGTGAAACACTCTTATGCTTACTTTTTTATAAACTAATGCAAACTCAACAGAAAACATAAGAAATTTAAAATTGTTAACGGCACTTTATGCTAATTAGTGATTGTCACAAAAACGGGACATTTTGGCGGTCTGTTTTCCTTCCAAAAAAAACCTGGAACAGAGACTTAAAAACAAGGGACTGTCCCGGTTAATACGAGATATCTGGTCACCTTATTGTGGGAAGACAGACACTAATCTCAAATACAGTTAAGGGCAGTTTATCAACACAGGCAATGCAGTATCCTTGACTTCCACTTTCATGTCTCATGGCAATCTACAGGAAAATACCCATTAAAAACTTTTTTGGCAATTTGTCTCCAAGCATCCTCGCATAACAATTTGTTAATAGGAGCTGTGACAACCTTAAAATTTTTTCACTACCCTGTGCAAGCCTACCAGCATTAAACGAATTAAGTCCATCTGTAACTACAAGTATAGGGCAAAAAGTGATTATGACAGTGAAATTTGGGTTTCTGAGTCCCAAATGTAATAATTAAGTAATATTACTTCAAAATTGACATTTTTGTGATTTTCCATATTTCTTATGTGGACTGCATTGATACCCTGAGCTCCTTTTCAAACAATGCATTTTCTGATTTTTGAAATCATCATCAACTGCAAGGATTTTACTTGTTCAGTCTGTTCTAGTTCCTGAAAACTGTTCACCCCTCAGTGGTCCCCCCACATTTCTTCTCCCTTCTGGCTTGTAGTTCAATGCAGCTTTGACCATCCTTTCTACGGGCATTCTTAATATATGATTTCTCCATTTTCCTCTATATTCTTTAATAATGTCATTCACACTTAAAATTTTTAATTCGTTTCTAATTTCTTCACTTTTTTTGGGATCAAGAATATAACTGGCTATGGTTCGAGAAACTTCAATTCAGCCAATTCTAAACGCCTTGAAATTTAACAAAAAATTAGCTCTTTAAACAATATTGCATTACTAACTGGAAAAGAAAAACAAAAGTACAGAAATGCAGTGCACCAAGAAAGTCAGAGCCTTCTATTACAAATTGCGTTGAAGTAGGTAAGAACCAGATCAGTGGGGAACAAGAGAAGGGGACACCTCCAGCATCGACCAATATGATTGTGGTGAGTAAACAATTAACATTTTCTTTGGTTACAAACTGCAGCTTGTGCTACCAACATAATTTCTGTTGCAAGCATTCTCACCAGCAAGGTGCCGCTGCAAAGAGACTTTGCTGATGCGGTACACCACCTAAGTGCACATAATTTAATAGAACACAGTAATATGGGCATCTCTGGCAAGTAACATTCAAAGGAGGAGGGCATCAAAGGAAGTGATTTAAATGCTAGTACATTCTGGTAATTTTAGCTTAAGCCACAATTTTTTTATTGATTAATTGAAGTTATTGAGGTGCACATGGTAGATCAAAAAAGTTCAAGTTATGTCACAGCTATTCATGAATTCTATGATATACTTTGACAATAAACTTATAAAACTATTCATCACAAAAAAAAATGTTATATATATTATGACATAAGCAATATGGAATTATCTTAACTTACATCACATACTACAAATTTTATAATGCTGATTGAACCTAAGATTGTCCTGTGATGGTTACTGGCTGCAACTTGTGTAGGCTAAGAGTTTCAGAAAATCTTGATATCCATGGCAGATGAATACACTATTCAATTGCTTTTGTTTGATGCTATTCTTAAGTACTATTCAGTCTTTGAAGGGAGCTACAGCTCCTCCCATAATGTCAGCATCTTCATATGCCCCAACCCAAAGCACAGTTGGGTTGATTTAGTCTAGTTAATATTATTTATTGTTAATACAAACAGAAAAAAAATGAATGTACAATAAAATTACTGGTCGTATTTGAAAATTCTGGAGATGGGGGATTCCCTACCCCCGTCCACCAATGATGTTTCTAGCCCATGCTTTGTAACTGAAACCATACTGTCCCAACTAGAAATCTTACTTAATTTATTATGCGTTGCCACTGAGGCATCTTACAGTCAATGAAATGATGTACTTTTTTTTGTTTCTCCTGTAATATTCACATTTGTTAGTACTGCTAAGTTATTTCTTCACTGAAAATATTAATTCCCTGTATTTTGAACCTCAATATGCAGAAACATTCAGCAACTTGATATTTTTCCTTTACCCTTTAGATTTAAGATACAAGGATTCAATGTACAAGATTTAATCATTACATGCACCTGAAAATTTGACTCTACTCATTTAATTTTTACTCTTTTTTTCTACATCTCACAATAACCCTGGCAATTATTTGCAGTACAACAGAGTACAAAGGAAAACTGTTTGGAAATCTCTGAAAATATGACATTTTAAGAAAAAGTAGGAATTCATAAGTCAGTACTTTCAATAAATAATTTCAACAACCTCAAAACAACAGCCTTTTTGTTTCTCCTATCAAACATAATAAATATTTCAGTTACTACCAGCCTTGATTTGTTGGTGTTTCAAAAAATATTGGCAACATTTTTACATTTTTGTTTTTTTGCACAATTTTCATTATTCATTTCTTTTTTTCTCTCTTATGTATCACTCTCAAGATAGTGAATTTAAATAATAAATTTCCATCAATTAAGAAAATCGTCCATGATAAATGAAAATTACATTAAAACTCGTGTAAACATTTTATGTAATACACAAACACTGTTTTAATTCCTTCCAAAGCAATATAATGCTTCTATACAAAAAAGTACATCTGAAAGACGAAATTTACATCCTTATTTTATTTACAAGTTTCTTTCAAACACAACATTTTCTCAAGTACCACTCTCCTGTGTAGTTAAAACAGACCCTTTATCTACCTGTAAAGAGACCACAGACACAGAGTTTCCTGAACTATCAGTTGATTCTAAAGGTTGAAGATATGTAGTGTTTCCTACCACACTCTCAAAAGGCGTTGATAATATGTATTGCATGCCTTGCTGAAGGGGAGAAAACTGTTCTACAAGGGACCCTCCTTGGTCTAACTGAACAAATTGACTGTAACCACCAGTAACCAGAATAGGAGCTGATTGGTTTATGGAAGCTACAATATCAGCATTGCGCAAATTGCTGTCCAAACCACTATGCAATACAGGGGCATTTTGTACATACAGAAGAATAGGTTGACTCTGTACATTATCTCCATCAACAATTTCTCCTTGAGTCAACTGCTGAATCACTGGAACCTTCTCTTTAACGTTCTTATCTCCAACAGAAAACTGCACGAAAGATGTTTCTACTCCAGAGTCAGCTGTTACATCAGGATTATCATTGGAGTTTTCAGATGGAATTGATTTATCAGTTTCTTTGGACGTACTAGTATTTCTGCTCAATATTAAGTAGTCTGTTGTAAGAATGTCTTTCTGGGCACTAAGTTTTTCACTCTGTGCTTCTACAGTCCCATCCGATGCCATTAAGATGTCAGGTATAATTGGTTCTTCATTACTAATAATTTCGTTTGATGCAGAGACAACTGCAACAACTGCAGAGGGTGCTGATGAATTTATTGCTGTGGAATTTTTGTGCTGGCGCATGTGGCTCCTCCACGAGTCTTCTCTCACAAAAGCAGCATCGCACAATGTACACTTGTGTTGCTTCACGCAAAATGGTTTCAAATGGCCAGAACCTCTGGTGTTTCCAGACCGACTACCAGCTGCATTTTTAGACATTTCTATGCTCTCTTTACTCACAGCTTTTACATGTTTCTTTCGGAATGTCTCTGGATGTTTCTTTTTCATGTGAGTTTTCAGAGGGCCTGGAACAAGATTTTCATTCACTGTCATTACAATTTCAAGAAATGAGGCCAAGAAGGAACAGTTACTTGATTGTTAATTAAACTAGAGTTAAGAGAATTTGTATGTTTTATAAAAATCAAAGCCCCATGATTTTCATCTATTTTTGACTTTAACCCCAAAAAATCCAGTTAAAGACAAAAAGTTTATTGTATAACAAGAAGACTCTGTTTTCCAAGAACAAATTTTCGCACAATTCTTTTTCCTCTGAAAAAATTCATTTCAAATTTTTTTTTTAATAATAATAAATAACAGAAAGTTTGAGTACCTTCATTTTCTGATTTTGCTGTAAAAAGACAAAAGTTAATAATAGTTGATAAAAAAATAAAAATTATGTCAGAAAATGATATTTTATTAACCATATTTAAAAGGTAATATTTTTGATTTAATAATAATATCAAAAATTCCCTGACTTTTTTAGATTCTTCAAAAAATTCTCTGTCTTTTGCTGGTCAATAATATTTCCTGGCATTTCCCTTTTTCGAAAGTGGACACTTTGTTTAAAATAAGTACTGAATTGAATTATTGAATTAATGCCTTATTTTACGTGGCGATGTGTATTGGGTAATGTGTACATGGCCATAGATAATTATGTGACATTTATTGGAGGTGACGATAGACTGATTTGAATACATTAATTTAGATGTAATCAAAATATAAACTTTTTCATTCAACAGAATTCAACTGTGCATCTAATTAGGAAAAAGCATTTTCAGACATCTGTAAGACATCAACACAAATCCATATGTAAGGCAATAATTGCAAATCCATCTGAAAGGCAATAAAATAGTGATTGGGGTCAACAGTGACAACTGTATATAAATACAGAGGCCTCCTGATAAAGAAACTATACACAAGTAGTCTTAATTCAAACTCAATTTCACATTGTGTCTTCCAATGTTCCCTGATGAAGACCTATACCATCACATGTTTACATTTCTTGTACATATTTTTCTTTCTCAAGGAAATATTGCCAGAGATGCAACTGTTGATCACTTTCTGAACACATGAGGCTGAGTTGTAAGATGCTACTTCAAATGTTTTTCTCATTTCATAGTCAACACTAAACTAGTAGTACTAACTGTAAAATAAACTTTACATTAATTTAATTAACTAACAACCAAAAAAAAATAAAACCAAAAATGATAAACAATATTATAAATTCCTAATTTGTTTTAACTTCAATTTCTAACAGAAAATGGAATTTTCATAATACAAGTATCCTCAATAATTTATCCTCATAAACTTCCAAGATTTCAGATTGAAATCCATTACTGTTTTCAGCAAATCAACTCTGCTGATACAATTGGAAGTGGCACATTATCTAGACATGCTCAAACTAAGTCCATAAAAAAATGATAACATGCACAATTCTGTAATCAAGATATTTTGAATGATCAATGGATGAAAATTTTCTTAAATTAAGGAAAATCCATAAATTTTAACAAAACAAGATTTTCAAAATTTATAAAATATTATGTCTTCACATTTAACATAACAATAAAAAAGTCCAAGCAGAGATTTGAAAAGCACCACTATGATTTTATCTTTGTTGCAGGACAACAGAACTCAGAAAGTTCTTGACACAAGTAAGTTAAAAATGAAATTAATACAATTGAAAAGTGTACGTATGTTTATAAAAAAAACTAGAGGTGTTATAAGAGCACATAATTTCTTGTATTATTAGTATGTAATTAATATATTTCAACTTCTATTAATTCTCACATTATTATATTTCAATTTCTATCATAATAAATACTTCAGCCATCACTTAACGAACTCCCAACCAAGCAAAATATGAGAGGTTAAGGGGAAGATAGTAAATGAGATGGCAGTAAATGAGATAGATAAATGAAGATATCAAAAAGTAACCAATCTGACGTGGACAGAAGCAATGAATACGGCGCAAAACAGAATAGGATGGAGAAAACTTGTAAAGGAGGTGAATCCGCAAATCAGAGGCAAATTGGAGGCAAATCGAAAGAGATTTTGATGGGGAGGCTGCTCTGAATATCCTCTTAGGATCAGCAAAGATCACACGCAATCTGTGAGTGTAACTAGGAGAATGTTGAATGTTTGCAATTTTTGAAATTCCAGAAGTTTTAACGAAAATCAGATCTGCACCACATTATTATGCAAAATTTGTTTCATTCCAGCAAAAAAAATATAAAATTGAATCCACCTTTGAGAATGCCTCTCTTACTTTTTTATTGGGTTGTCATGATTGTCATGTAAATCAAGCAAAAACGATTCATATTTTCAAAATCTTGAGCCTGACATCATTTAAATATCTAATTTTGAAAAATTAATTTCATTAAGGAAGAAAATCTCAAACCATAAATTCAAATTTCAAATTTCAAAAAAATTGCTTAAAGAAATTTTGTTTTTTTTGAAAATTCAAAAGCTTTTAAATGAAGATCAGACAGATTTCATGCTGACTTATATTAAAGCCAAACATTTGGCACCATTTTGAGAAAAGTTTGATGGGCAGATGATTTTCAAAAATACACTTTTTTGGTATCAGGAGGATCCTAAAATTATTCCATCAAGATTCCAACATCTATTTCTGGATGCATTACAATACTTTCTCTGTTCCTTATATGAGAAAGTGAAAGATGATAATTGAGATTCTTGGAAACTAACAATTTGAAAATTTAAATGAAAATCAGACTTTCCACGTCACTAATTGAATGTAGAATTTTGGAAGCTTTCAAATTTTTACGAACATTCATTTCATTGAGATTTCCAATGATCAGTCCCATCATCTTTCATCCAAACTTTACTCATGAAAAAACAATATATTAAACTTATCACATTGACCAATGGCAATCAGACAACTCCTGAAGGATATATAACAGAAAGCTTTATGTCATATCACCACAATCTAAGAGTGTACAGATGAAGAATGCAGTTTAAAATAAAACGCACCAAAATAATTAATTTCTTTGTATAACGTGTGACAATACAAAATTATATTTCTAACGATTAAGGTTCCAATTTCAAATCTGTTTCCCTCTCCTTGAGGTGCAAAAGACTCGTTTTCATTAAAAAAATGCAGCTTTGCAGGTACAACAATGGTATATAGTTAATCAGATTTTCTCTTCAATGAATATTTATCACAAATTATTTCAGGGTTGGGTTGCTTAAAATACATGTACTACAATTTTTCTTAATTTCCATTAATGTTGTAACAGAACTAGTGGGGCTACAACAGCACATGCTTTCTTGCATTATCTTTAAAGGTTTTCTAACAATATAAAACTATTTAAACATATGTTTGTGTAATTTTTAAAATATTAAAAGGTTAAATTAAAGTAATATTTATGATATGTTATATGGTGCATTTAGCTATATCCCTTCACAAATTGTACAGAAAATATTTGTAGCTTTATTTCAGAAAATCTTGTTCTTAAAATTGCAATTATTTCATGCAAAATTACATGAAATCTAAACATATTATGAAAAATTAGTATAAGACCTTATTTTAAGATCTAATTTTGAAGAATAAATTTCATTAAGAAAGAAGTTCTTCAATATTGTAGTTGTAGGAAAGCGTTAAAAAGAATTATTAATTTTCCTATGTACAAAAATGTATGAAAATCGTAAATGTGCCACTTTCATAAGTGCACTTTCCTCTATCTGAGAAAGACATGTTAAGAAAAAATTTTGAGAATTCTTTTGAAAATTTTTAAAATGTTGTAGGGGATCCTTGTAAAGTATCCCAAAAATCAAATTATCCTTTTCAAATTGTAGAGGCTGCAAATATCAGCTGGATCAAATACAGAATATCAATTTTGGTGAAAATACTGCCTATGGTTTAGCCACTAGTATACCTCTCAAAAAAGTTATGACTGACAGATAGGCGTTTTGCCATAATCAATTATTTCGGTACCAAGGACCCACAAACATGGATTCTGACTACACATTTTGGAAGTAATTTATTACATAAATGAACAAGAATTGTCCCCTCTTTTGGTAACAAAGACTGGTATACAATACTTCTAATTCAGCCAAAAAATCACAGTTTTTGCAGAAGTATTAGTTTTTGCAGAAGTAACTTCCTTTACACAACAAAAATACAGAGAAAATAATAAAGCCCATGCAACAGAGAAATATAATATTCTTTGCACAATAAAACAGAAATACCTGGTATTTGGCATGTAAATGAGCAGAGTTTGCAAGAATGTTTTTCTTGTGAATGAATTTTACAATGGTTTTTCATTCCTGCAGCATTAACACATGTATAGGAACATACAGCACATTTCAAAACCTCCCCTGCAGAAAAAATGAACAATATATATTAATGAAAGATACCGTAATCACAGACCTTTTTAAGTAAACATTGCATAACAAATAACTTCTAAAAATTGGACTTTGCTTAAAATACACTAAAGTTTTCTTACCAGCATGAGATTTCTCATGTTCCTTGAATTCTCGCTTTGTAGAAGCAACATAAATGCATTTATTGCAAGAGATACTCTTTGTGTCTGAATGTGTAAGGCGCACATGAACTCGTAAATTGGCTGTTAATTTAAAAGAATAAATTAAATTATATTAAAATGAACAATATCAAACAACAGAGCAAGGTGAAATTTGAAAATACTTACATTTAATAGCACATTTGTACTGGCAATAAGAGCATGAAAATGGTTTTTCTCCAGTGTGGGTGCGAGAATGCCTTTTTAAATCTGAGCTTGTTTTAAACGCAGAGGTACAATTTTCAAATGTACATACGAATGGGTTGTCTCCTAATGAAAGAGCACAAAACCAATCAATGGTGTGACCATTTCAATCAGCACAAGCATATAAAACCACACAAATATAAAAACAAAATCTCAAAATGGGGAAGTGAGAAACAGTGACTGCAATATGGTACGTTTTGTGGTAATAAATAGTTTTTTAACATAAATACAAGATTAAAATGCAGAAAATAAATAGCAATATTTGCAAAGAAAATGAAAATAATTTTTAGAAAGAGGATAAAATATATTTTTCATTCTGTACATGAATAGAAACTCCAAAAAAATCTCTTGCTCATTCCCAAGAATTTTAAGAACAATAAGGGATATAGCGGAATAACATAGGTGAAATTATTCCACGACCAAACTAGAAGAGGATGATATTATCTTATTCTATGCCCAAAATAACCTAGAAAAACAAATTTTTATAATTGTTTGTGTTACAATAGTGATGTAATATCCAAAATTGTGTTGTTTGTCCTCTTTTCTATTTTGACGGTGTATGTCGGCAGAATTTAGATTTTTTTGACATGTAACAAACTGTATTTTTTAGTCAATTTTCTAAGGTATACACTAATTTCTTATGATATTTTTTTTATATTTAAGACCAACATAAGATACTCTTTTCACTGAACATCTTACTTTTTAAATTTTTTTTAACATTTTTCTTTTTAGAATTTCAAGGCGAATGCTTGATTTTGGCAAAAAATTACTATTTTCATTGGATTTCTCATCCACAAATACACAATACATTTATAGATTCAATTTCACAATGTGGTCAATCCCTTTTAGACTTAGAACTTAAAAATACATCAATTTTACAATTTTAAATTTTGTGTGTGTATGTGTGTATGCTTAACAAACGGTCATATTATAAGTTTCTGTGATTTTTAACTCGTGATCTTCTTTTTTTCTAAATTGATAGAAAAATTATGTTTCCTTCGATCTGTTTGAGCTACCACTTTATATTTCACGTACTTAAGAATACATGTAATTGTAATATATTTAAGTTTTTTAATAAGAGAAAATGGGTAATTAATACTAAGATACAATTCACTTGAATACATTTTTTTATAAATATTTTAAAATTATGAAAAAGTAACAGAAAATATTTTTTACAAATGATGGAATCTGTATTCAAATCATTAATACAATACAATTTATTAATATAACAAATATACAGCTCATTAAATGAATTTTCAATACTTTGTGCAGTTGTATTTTCTTTTAATTTTCACTATTCCTTCTTAGTTTTCACCTCCAACATCACTCATCAATTGGTCAACATATGGGTAGATCTCTTCATGATTGAAAAGTTCAGATAGCTTTACAGCAGGCCTAAGAATATTTGTTTTGACATCTTGTATTGGATAGATAATAGAATACAGCTGCGGGATGCAAACAGCATCCAACTGCTCTTAATTTGTTTGGACATTCACATGTGAAACATTGAATACCAACACATCCATTAATAAATGGCTTGTAGTCTATATAGCATTTGTAAGTTTTGCTCTTACTATGTCCGGACCTTATGCACACTTCAATTATTATATTTTGTTGTGTTTTTTAATTGTTAATTTTCACCGTTAATCATTTCAGCCAAGTATGACACAGCTTGACAGAAATGATGTTCAATTAAAACAGAATTTTAAGTTATTTCTTGGGCAATTCTGGAAAAACATCAGTTATTTAATATTAAATTAATTAATGGAATATTTTTTTTATACCAATTCCCTTTTTATATTTGATCAGCAAGCATATTCATTTTTGTTTTGGATTTAACACATTAACAATCTCACAATATATGCCATAATCTGAATAAAATCGTTTGACAAATGCATTGTTTAAAGAGTTTGCAATATACAGAAACTTTCGGAAGCATCTTATCATCCAAATGGTTGCTAGTAACTTGAACTCCTGAACTAGCTTTGTCCATGGATGACATCAACAACCCCGCGTAATTTGATAACGATGCGAGACGAATTCTTAAGTAGGTAATTGTATTCTTTTACCTTTTAAGGCTGGCATACGAACTTTGAAATTTTTCTTCTAATAGACTTACTTCATCTCGGGACCCATGATCAACAATGTATATATCGCCTGGTTTCATTAAGATATTTATACTCTTTGTGTCATACAAAACTTCTCACATTAATTCAACATCATTTTTTATTACTTCAAAAGACACACAACAATCAACAACATAGCCATCAGTATAGCAAACAGTAAAAGACTTGAACAATAGAATTATTTTTTGTCAAGCGTATACTTCTCTTTGGCACTCATTGTTAGTACTATTCTGATGTTTTATGTAAGTGCTATCAAATATCAAAACAAGCCGATTCCTGTCAAACTGTGGCAGTTTTTGTGCAACTGTCAAAGTATGATGTTCAATCAAATCTTCCCTAGTAAATTTATTTACACCAAGACAAATTGAAAAAATGTCTTTTTCAAGAGACTCCAACATAGAATCACAAATATTTTACTCAAGTTGTTCATTGGAAACGAATAAAATTGTTGCAATATATTATTAGATGATCCACAACGCATTTTAAATAAAAGAGTGATTAAAGCTAGTGATTAAAAAATGAAACAAACCTTCATTTTGCCCTTCCATCAGCTTGTTTGTGGCAAAGTTAGTTCAGGCATACATTAGATCATAGAAAGAAGATTAAAGATTCATTAGGAAATATCTGCTTCTTTGTTAAGCCATAAGTGTCACTCTTTTTAATTGCATTTTCACTCAAATTATGCCAATGAAAAATATAAAAGTGATCTAGAGACATTACAAATAAATTAAAACAAAATAATGATTTAAGACTTTTAACTCAAGTGTTTCTAAGTCTGAAAAAGGGGATGACCACAAAGTTAAATTGAATCTTTCTGTTGATTACGTATGTATTTCTGGAAGAGGATTACAATGAAAATAGTCATTTTGTTTCTAAATGAAGCACTCACCTTGAAATTCTAAAAAACAAAATGTAAAAAAAAAAAAAAAATTAAAAAGAAAGATGTTCAGTGAGAATAGTCCATATGTTGATCTTAAATATCAAAATATCATAAGAACTTAGTGTACATTTTAGAAAATTGTCTAAAGAATGCACCTTGTTATGTTACATGTCAAAAAAATCTAAATTCCGCCGAGATACGTCAAAAATTGAGAAAAAGGCGAAAAAAACATTTTTGGATATTATGTCACTATTGTATCACAAACAATTATAAAACTTTGTTTTTCTAGGTTATTTTGAAAGTACAATTAGACATCATCCTCTTCTAGTTCGGTCATGGGACAATTTCACCTATCATATTCCGCTGCATATTCTCTTTCTTTTTTTTCTTCTTCTCCTTCTTCCTTCAACATCTTCATTTCAGGTGTGTTCAATAGCTTATATAGAATGTACACCAAATATCCAATTCCCTGGAGTCTTACTGTATGCAGGTATGACTGTACTTTATAAAAAGCTCTTTGGTATTGAATTACAACTTTTTCAATATTACATTATTCTTCACTTTGTGTAATATTACAGATTCAAGCAAAATCAGAGTTAATCCGTTAAATGTGAATATCAAATGGACTAATTTTGCCTTTACAACTTGGAACTATTTTTATACTAAGTTTACCTAGAAAATTTGATTTTTAATTTTCATCTTGAACTGTAAGTCTTTTAGTGACAACAATCCAATACCTTTAGCTCAGATCTCAGACAAGTAGTTTGCAAATTATAGCACTGAATAGAGAAGCATTGCAGAGATTAATGGAAAATCTTTAACAGTATATGTTCAACAGATATGAAAATAAAAGCTCCAATTTTCTTGGATTCTCATTTAGTGTTTGACATCAAAAAAAGAAAAACATAATGTAATTTGTTTCGCAAAACGTTAATGTGGAAGAAAAGCAGCCGGAGCATTCTCTCCAATAACCTGATTTCCCTGCAGACATGCCAGAGTGCTCTTTGCCATTTGAGCAGCAATCTTTTAACATTGTGAGGTTTCATATTGGGTAGAAATGATCAAGAACAAGAGAAAGATATGTAGGAGAAAAGGTTTTGAGAATCCCATGACAAAAAATTTTAGTCCAAACTCTAGTCATTAGATACATGTCATAAATATATTTATCCTACCTGTATGAGTTCGAAGATGAACTGTAAGCTGAGAAGAATCTCTTGAACGATATGAACACATTTGGCACCTAGATATCAAAAAGAAATATATACTTGTTAAATTATTACAATAGGATCTTGCAAATAATTGGAGAAATTTGAGATTTCTGATGAAATTGGAAAACTCACATTACTACATAATTATTAATGGGGATATTTGAAACTCTTGTGGTGAGAGCACATATTTATAATACTTTTTTTGCAACACTGTTTATTCAAATTATAATGAGAAGTGAAGCCATTGTGGCAGCACAGAAACAACAAAAAGAAGAAAGCAATGTAACAAAATTTTTAGATCCTCGACTATTTTTCAAATCCAAAATATCAATGTAAAAGAGTAGAACACAATGAAAGATGAATGAATTCGAAGAAGAAGTTATTGAATGAACGTATATGAGTAACAAAGTGTGCTGGCTATTGAAGTGTATCTGCTCCAATGACACTGTTCATTAAATCATTAAAATTAATACAGCATGTTGCAGTATTCTCAATCAATCCAAATACATTGAAAAGTCACACATAAGACTAAGATATCAACAACTTTTTTAAATATATTTTCATCATACATTTATTACATAGCGAGATGCTCCAGTCATTTAATAACACCTACTTCTCATAACAAAGAGTTTAAATAAACACCTTTAACTATTTGCAAGCAATGGAAATTTTGAACAAAAGAATAAAATTATATAGTAAAAAGATGTGACAGTTAGCACCTATAAACAAATAATCGCACAGATTTGAAACCATCACTTGTCTCAAAAACTCTCACAATGTATGTCTACAAAAGTATTATACTAATATGAATAAAATTTCTTACTTGTAAGGTCTTTCATCATTGTGAATTCGCATGTGTTTGCGTAAACTACCACTGTCATGAGTAGCATAATCACACACTTCACATCGATATCTCTTAACCCCAGTGTGAATGCGTTGATGCATGTGAAGTTTGTCTAACCTACTAAAGTTACGATGACATGAATAGCACTGGAACGGTCGCTCCCCTGAGAACAAAAATATTCCAAAAGGAAATGTTTAATGTCCAAAACATCCATACAGTACATAAGCAAGAGAAATGTAGCACTGAAGACTATACTTATATGCAGAAGAATAAAACCAAGAAACCTTTAAAATCTTTCAAGGAATGAAAAAACTCAAAATTTATGAAGTTGCATTCATTTTTAAGCCAGAAATATACAAATGTTAATATGTTTCAAAACAGAAACTTCATTTTTCATTATTAACCTTAATCATTAAATTAACGTGGAACTGATATACAAAAAACAGCAAAATATAAATATATATGCATTTTTTTGCGGTTTATCATTAGCCTCCAGTTTCCTTATTTCAAATAATTTTGTTACAATTATAGAGCTTCATTTTATGCATAAGAAAATGTCCAGACAATAAACGACTTCAAACATTAATTTTGTTACGTAATGCGTCACCAACATCATATTCACTAATTCATCATTACTTTAATGCTACAGATGATTATGTAAATTAAAATTGGATTTTAAATAAAAATGTAAAAAAACCTCACCAGTATGTTTGCGCTCATGTCGAATAAGATCTTTCATGTACCACGTTGTAAAATCACATGATTCTTGGGTGCACTTATGCTTTCTTTTTCCTGTAAAACTATCAATATTTTTATCTGATGGTACAACCTGGCTAATACCAACTCTGGGTACATTAGAAGTGGTGTTAAGAGTTCCTTTTTCTGATGAGCTTGTTAATACAGGTGCATTATTTTTATTGCCATCTCCATCCCCATTAGTCCATCTCAAATTCCCCGAGACTACAGAATTGGTTTTATTGCTTTTTGAGGCACCTTTGTCCTTTGTATGGCATCTCTTTCCATTATTCACTTTCACAACCACGCTTTCATTAGTATCATCAGGAAGGTTAATTGCTTCGAGATCAAAATGACATTGTGACTTAGGAACTACTTCGTGTGAAGCATATTTAAGTCCTGAAACAAAAATTTTGAAGATAATTATATGGCAGTAAAAAAAGTGATTTTACATATTTTTCAGAGACAAATTTAAGTTTATTATATACTTTCACTTCACTTCTGTTTATTAATGTTAATCCAAGTTTATTATTAATGTTGTTTTGTTCTTTCATTGTTGTTAAAATGGTGTGTATTCTCAACAAATATAAATAATAAAATTAATATTTACCTGTTTTGGAAGCTATGGATGTTTCATTGACAGAATTCACCTCTTCACTAGCCAGCTGATTAGCAAGTAATGTAGCAACATCTTCTTCATCAATCTGAAATTCTCTCTGCTTTGTATTAGATTGTGGCCGATTTTCTAATACCAAAGAATGCAAGCCCTCTGAATTCTGAAAGTTTGCATGATTTGCTACAGATGTATCTTGTTCTGACACCCCTAACAGGCGTGCTCGCAAAATCTGATTAGTATTTTCAGAACAACTTATATTACTTGATAGTTCTTGATTTTGAGATTGATTTTCTGGCAAATTTAAAGGGTCTTCATCAAGAATTACTTGCAGATACTGAGTTCCCAGAGAAGGATTACTCTCTTCGTTTGAATTGGATGCATTTGTTGTCACATACCCCAAAGAAGTCTGGCTATATGGAGGAACAACAGAAGTAGATATTGTCTTCTGAGGAGATGTTGAACAGCCAGCCCTCTTGTGTTCAACAAAAAGATCAAGATCTGAGAAACTGCGTTTGCACAATCCACATATGTGAACATCTTCAACATTGCTTGAAGACGGAATTTGGGTTGATAATGAAGATATCTCAACTATAAAATGAAATAAAACAAAGAAAAATTAAATTCAAATTTTAAAAAAATATCATAATTAAAATTACGATTTATAAGTAGCAACTAACTACTTGACAGCAAAACGTCAATGACAGGTGTCAAACTCGAACGAAAGGTATTTCGACGAACGATATTCGACACGATTCAACAATTGCATAACACAGCTATTTATTGATGTTGCAATGCCATATGTACCTTCTTGTAATTATAAATATCAAAATTAAATCCCATAATTAATCCAGCAGACAATTCCAATTACTCTTGCAATAAGCGGGCTATGTTGATTTACGTCCTCGCGCGCACCAACAGCGTTTTCGCAAGAAAACAGGGCCCGAAGCAAGCACACACAATATTAATGGGTTCTAAATTCTTAACAGCTAAAAGCCAACTAAAGATTATTATTTACCGTATACACGAGAACCCGGAGGAGCGACTGACACATTCATAATTTACAAAGGCACTCTATAATACGCATAATTGTAAAAAAAACCTGCGGTATGCTTATTCCACACTTCTGGAGTACAGCTGTACGATGTCAACAAATGCGGTAAAGATGGCCACGCGATTTGGTGGAGGGTTATTTTCGTCCCATGGAAAGCCAACGAACGTTCAATTATTAGCACAAAGGTATCGTCAGTGTCACAAATTGAGAATTTGTTCATTCTTATTTCAAATTGATGTATTAATTATTTTCTTATTACTAGCTAGGCAAAAGATATTAATTGTGTGTGCATAACCTCCAAATTGTACGCATTGAACGTAGTTATTTATATTAAAATGATTTATTTTTTTAGTAATGTCTGTACACTTGAAGAATTTTACTTGCAGTTTTCAGGCATTTAAGATTCAAACTCGAGATATAAGACCCGGTTCGAAACCAGGTACTAGACCAGATAGTAAACCAAAACAGAGATTTCCTGATTGGTTTTTGAAGAAAGAAAGAGTTGTGAGTACCTGATGCATTATTTTTACTTAAAAATCTTCGAACATATTTTTGTCGAAATCTGAATGTTTATTAATGTAGTGCTATTTTTAGCAATACAACGAAGGTTTAACTGCAGAAAATAAGGCTTTTGTTCAAGAAGTAGTAGAAGATAAATTTGGTCCCCCTGCTATTATAGGAGGAATTGCTACATATAAGAGCCCATTAAAAGTTGAACCATTGGTAAGAGGTGAGTGGACTGAAAAGAGTCGACGGACTGGTGTCATTGCTCGCAAAATAGGTGTTTATCCTTTATGGTTCAAAGATGGGAAGAAGGTCTTGACATCATTGTTACAGGTACCTTAGAGCACATTTTCTATTATAAAATATATCATGAGATACTGACATTAAAGAATTTTTTTAATGTGTTTTTTAGGTGATTGACAACCATGTTATCCAATACACTCCCCCAGGCGAGTTCCAGCAAGCCCGTAAACTGGAAAAGGCACTTTGGAAACCAAATAAATTGGGATGTTTGTTAGTTGGAGCTGAGAGTACTGATCCACAGAAGGTGATAATTTGTTTGGTTCATTTTGTGAACAAAATCCATGAACACTGTTTTAATACTATTTGACTCTGTTGTCAGTATGTTTAAAATATCATTGAGCAAACCTTGAAAATTGAAGGGTTTTTTCTTTATTTTGATTGCCCAATTTTTAAAAAAAACAGTATATCAAAAAACGTCCAACTGGTTTTGTGGTAAATTAGCCAGTAAGGGATAGTGAAAAAAAATCTTAGGAAATATTTTCATCACTAGGTTTGTTTTAGCTACTCAAAGTAAATGTGAAGAAATAATTTTGAATTGTAACCAATTCTATTTTTATATTTACTTCCAAATATGTAAAAAATAAAAAAATAAGAGAAATATGCAAAGTCAAGTTCTATGTATTATTGAGAGACTATTTGGTGTCAACATTGATGTTAAATGAAATATTTATATTTTGGGAAGAAGTTTGACTTGCCTAATGATTGAAGCAATAGATTTCTCTACTTTCAAATATTGGTATTATCATTTCAGTATGACAATATTTCAACACAATTTTCCAGATTGTTTGAGATATTGAATAACCCTTCCAAATATGAAACACGAGTATTATTAAATCTCAAATTTACTTGATTCTTAAGCTGCTCTAGCAGTGACAACAGAAGAAATGATCTGCATTAAGCCTGTGACAAGAGAGACACTTTTAGAGTGCAGGTCAAATTTCTCTGCTAAGCTTCCTCGCACACACTTCCTCACAAGTGTACACATTTTTTAAAGTTTTTAGTTAAACTTTTCACTATTATGTAGTGCATTGTGTGTTTTGGTTTCTTTACCTTATATTGTTTTATAAAATACATGTCAACCTCAATGGGATTCACAGGTCTCTTCAACTGCTCTTTTAATGACATTTTTTGATTAATTGCAGTGGTATATGTTTTCACTAAGTTGCCAATACAAATATTTTCATGCCTTCAAAGAATTTTTTGTTAAATAACTTTTTATTTTTTGAAACTCATATTCATTTATTTATAGATTATCCCAGTCATATTCTTTAAAGTTGGAGATAAATTTGATTCAGTTGCATGCTTACTCACAATTTTTTTAAAGTGCTGCTAGGTGTTGTTGTTCTGAATCCAATAGTGTCGTTGTCGCAGTACATTGAAATGATCATACCCTGAAAAAAATACAAAATATTTTAGTAACTACAAGTAATTTTATCTTTCTGTACAATTTGCAGTTCACAAAAGAGTATTGTGGTCTCTTTTCTAAGTCTGGAGTGATGCCTAAGAAAATTCTTGCTCGTTTTCTTGTAACACCAGATGCTGCAATTCAGCCGGGTACTCCTCTACTAGCTTCACATTTTAGAGTTGGTGATTATGTGGATGTGAGGGGTAAAACGTGAGTATAATTTTTGTTTTACTTCCACAACCATTATTTATTTAACACTAGAATCAGTAAAACTTGCATGTGATGTTTGGGGGAGGAAAAAAATGTGATTAATAAATGTATGGTTTTGAATGTGATCACACAGGTTGATATTATTTATATGAATTTTAGCATCGACCGTGGGTTCCAAGGTGTTATGACACGGTGGGGCTTCAGTGGAATGCCTGCTTCTCATGGTGTAACCAAGACTCATAGAAGGGCAGGAAATATCGGATCAGGTGGAACCAAAGCTCGTATTTGGAAAGGTCAGAAAATGCCTGGTCACATGGGCAACAGATGGCGTGTTCTGAGAGGACTGAGGGTAAAAATGTTAACAAAATTTTCATGCAATAAATCCAGTAATTGTTTTCAGAATTTTTATATTGATAATTCATCTATTTTAGATATGGAGGATTAACACAAAATATAATGTTCTCTATGTCTCGGGCCAGAATATTCCTGGTGAAACTAATTCAATGGTGTATATATATGATACAGTGCTGCCATTGAGGTAAAATATATTAGAAAATATACTAATTTTAAATTACCAAACTTGGGGTGCAAGGCCTAAATATTTCATTTTTATTTCTAGGAAATTCAAGGAACCTCCGCCTTTTCCTACATATTATACAGAAGATGAAGAAAATCTTCCTGATGACATTTATTATAGTGATGTTCACCAATTCTCAGAGCCTAGTATAATGTTTGAGGAAAATAAATAGAAGTTATGTGTAGAAAATTTAATAGCTATTAAATATTTGTTTTTGTATTTATTATTTTACAATTATTTTGCCTTTTATTCCTCTTTTCATTGTGCATGAAAATAAATGATTGAAATTATGTTACTCCCACAGTATCATACATTTTTTTAATTCTGTTAATGATTATGTGGAAAAATTGCGCAGTGTGTGCTGTATCAGCTACAATAAAGTTTTACATGAAATTGTGATATTTTTGTGAATATCATTCTGCAGGTAAACTTTCCACTTTCTTTACCTTCAAAGATAATTTCTGAATACCATTACATAATAAAATATCAAAGATTTGTAATATTAATGAGTGCATATTATTATAATATACTTTTTCTTATACTTATACTTTTTAAAGGCATTTTCAAAAGGGATCTCAATCCTGTTGTTGCCTTCAAAGTACATCCCTTGCCTAGCTGCACACCGCTTTCAACGTTTCTTCTAGCTTGTATGCCCTCTGAAACGCTGCTTTCAGAATCTCCTTGAGGTCAGCTGTACAATTTATCTCGATATCCTCGAATGAGTCAAATCGGCGACTGTTCAATGTGGATTTCAATCTCGGAAATAGAAGAAGTTAAGCTCGAGCCACATCTGGAGAATACGGAGACTGCAGGAGCACCGTTGTCCCTTTTTTTGGCATGCATTGGCGAGTTGTCATGCAATTTGAATTTTAAATTCTTCCACAATTAGGATGACGGTAGCGAATTAATTAAAAAAGATTAATTTTTATAAGGCGGAATGTGCAACAATGACCTAATGTCATCGGCCACTTTGTAAAAATCGAAGTATTATGAGACGCACCAGGCAGCGTTTTTATTGCTGTGGACATCACTAAATGGCGCAATGTGTGTCGCTTCGGGGGTTTCGCATCAAGGGTTTTGGGAACAAGGACCTCAGTCCGGTCTTTTCTTTTAACACACCTTTTACACGAATATAATATTCAAAAGAGCAAATATTAATAATAAATTATAATGCAATTCCAATCTTGTAGTGTTTACTGATTTGTTCAATAAGTTAAACCAACTATAATATTTTATATAGCCAGTGACGATTATTTAATAACTGACAATTGAACTCTTGTGACGATTATTTAATAACAAGCTAGCATGCTCAACACTGAAGGAAGTAAGCATAATCAAAACGCATTTTCCTTCCTCGTATACGGAGTAATATACGTAGTATAGAGAAAGTTATTTAATGCTTCGAAAAATCGATTTCAACAAAAATACACATTTTGAGATCCCCTGATACCGAAAAGGTGCGTTTTTTAAAAACAGCCCTCTGCTCGTTCGTTCGTTCGTCCGTCCGTCTGTTAACATTAGTGCGTATGCTATTCAAAGGATTTTTTTTTTTTTTTCAAAATGGATATTCACCGTTTGAACTGGCTCCACTCAAGGCTGTGCGATATTCAATACATATCTTTAATTTGGGGGAGATTTTTTACATGAAGCCTCTGGGACATTCTCAACATTTTCTCAAAAACTGCTCCAATTTTTTATTTAAATTTCTTGTAAGAATGGAGAGAAAAGCACTTAGAAAGGTGGCGTAGGTCCGATTTGCACCGATAACTCAGAATTTTCGAAAATCTCGAAAGTTTCAATTTTTCCGCAGTTCTTCTACAACTACAAAATTGAAGATTTTTCCTTCAAATATAATTTGTTCTCCATACCTGGTGCTTTTGTTAATATCGTACATTTTCTTGAAATTTTTTAGTAGTCGCCACGCCATATTGCGCAAAAAACGTACCAAACTAAAAATAACAAAACAAGAGTTTCTCAAAACGGCTCCAAATTTTTTCTTTAAACTTTTGGTAGGGATAGTGCTAAATGTACTGCATTAGATGACATAAACGCCATTCTGTTCTATTTTTTTGTTCTTTTTATTCTATCTATCTGTCACGTCGTTAACATTTACAATAGCGTTGATTTCTTCACATTATAGCATTTATGTAGCCATATGCTTCAAATGTATAAAGTTTCTGAGAAACTCAAAAAGTTTTCTATGAAAATGAGCTCGAATTCCCGCATTTTTAGAAACGCTCAAACGCAATTTTCTCAAAAACGACTCCACATTTTTCTCTAACTTTTTGTACGGACAGTGCTAAATGCACCGTTGACATAAAATCCATTTGCGGTATTTTTTAAATTACGCAAATGCATTTTCTTTAAAATATCTCTCTCGCCGTTAATATGCGCATTTCCAGCGATCTGTATACATTGTTGCATTTTTGAGTGGAAGTTTTCTTTGCATTATCTTAATTATTTCCGATTTTTCATTCATAAACGTCATCTACATTTCATGTGTAATGCTCTGAAAATGTATTTGGAATTGAAGGATGCAAAGCAAATTCTTTTTCACGTTTAATGTACATGTATTGATAAAACGATTTAAGGGTCCCATCTGCATTAAGGTGATAACAATAACAACAACAACAATAATAATAATAATAATAATAATAATAATAATAATAATAATAATAATAATAATAATAATACGCTGATTATTTACATAAATATAAATTGAACACAATTTCCGACGATTTGGATATCTTACTATACCATTTTCATGAAAAAGTCGTAACTGACTGTGACAATTTTATTCACGCCGCTTTGTGACTACTGCTCCAAATCTGCTTTTCCTGTTCAATCGTTCATAGAATTGAAAATGTTATAGACTGTTAATTAAGAGTGCCGTGATTGCGTTCAGAACCTTTCAACATTCATTTTCAATCATCTGAAATGTTTAAGACCCAAGAATGTTGACAATATAACAAATTTTCAATAAGAGTTAATTTTTATTTTTCATATCACCCTGAATATGATAATAGACAACAATGTAAGGCACGACTTTCATTTTCATTAATACTGTTAATGATATTTTTAGAATTAGAAGAAGTATTTTATTTTTGGATGTGGCTGGGGAACTAAATTGTCCGGCGATCACGGCGATGGAAAATGCATTAAATGCAGAAATATAGTTGTTCGGCTTCAAATCCCAGTGCTGGCAAATATTTTTATGGATTGTAAATACCTTCAGAGGCATGTGTTGAATCACTGAGGTACACATCAAGGCAAATAACCCAAGGCCCTGAACACAAAAGCAATCGAGTTCAACAATGCGACATTTTTTTATATTTCAGTTGATATTATAATAATAGGTAAATGTTTCAAATAATACGAGAAAGTAAGTGTTGCTGTTTACTATTTTCTTTTTGTTTATTGTTCAAGTATGCATATCTACAAAAATAACGAGTTTACTAGTTGGTCAACAGAAATTAGATCTTATTGAAATTAATTGTCCCTGAGTTTCGTCAACCCTCGCAGCTGTTGTGTATTGCAGGTCTGCCTACAAAACAGGCGCGTACCACATATTTCGTCGTCTGTGAATTTGTGTTCACTCTTACATAATACTATAGGTAGAGGAAAAAATTAACTACATATTTACTACCTAAAGGTTCTACGGCGGCTATTTTCCCACCAGTTGGTGGAGTTGTGCCAAACGTATAGGAATAGGTCTAACCGTGAATAACCGCCGGATACATGGTCTTGCCCTGTTAATTATATAAAATATCTGTAAAATGCAAAATATTTCATCTTTTCTGTTGTTTAGGAGAAAGTATTTAAAAACTCAAACAAACGACAAGTCAAAAGCTTGGCACTTCATCACGAAAACCTGAAATATTGAAATTGTGTTTCACGATCCTGACCTTAAGAGCTGAAGGAATTTACATGAATCAATGGAAAATTGTTATCTAAGAGAAAAGCAGCACTTAATATTTTTTTTTAAATATTGAAAGTGAATTTTGTGATTCTGTGAAAACGTTTTAACAATCTATTTTATTTCAGTTCATATTGTAGTAATGTGTGTAATGTACTAATGTACACCGAAATTAAACTAAAAAGAACTTTGTTTTGTGAGCCGAAGATAATCGTAAATAGAAATAAAAGCATGTCATCAGAAGGAATATAAATTCTCTGATATATCAAACATAACCAAAGGAACATTGGATACAAATTTAGTGGAACAATAAATTATTTTAGAATCTTAGAATCCGGAAATTACAATATGAGTGGTACAACGCATTTACTAAGAGGACATGGTAGCCATATTGGACGTGAGGAAGGTAAAGTGCAAATATTTACAACATGAATTTCAGATGTCATGAGTGTTCGAGGTTGCAATAGATAATCATTTTTTGTCCTTTAATACTCGTTATGTAAATTAAACAAATTCATGATTTGGTACGTGGCTGATTTTAAAATATAAGTTTTTATTAGAACGCTTCACATGAAATAATGGAGGAAGAATGTATAACCAATGGTGACACGTTTTGAACCGGGGTAGTCATTAGGTCAGAATAAGCATCTGTCTCCAGACGGGTTAAGGCCAATTATAAAATTAGTTCTGGGAAGTTAAAAGAAAATTGAAATCGGATGTGACAATTTTTTTCTAGAACCATGATTTTGTCAGGCGAAATTCAGGTTCGGAAGCGAACACTTGCAGACAATATTTTAGACACGGAGGGTGACACTCGTAGGAGATATTCAAATACGAGAGATATAATTATTATCTGGCGTTCAAATAGTTTACGTTACAGTGTAAATTTCATGTTAAGTTTTTTTGCGACAGAAATATTTAAAGTAAGATTTTTTAACAAGACGTTTCGCTAACGCGAATGGATAACAAAATAGCATACTTGCATCCGAGACATTCGTAGAAGTAGCGAGTTGTAAATAGTCCTTGTTAATGCTATATTTCCGAGATTAATTTTGTTTTTCTTTAATAATGTCATTAGTATTACGTGTAATTCATGATTGAATTGACGCGCCAGTTTTAATTTCGACTACAAGATACAAGAACAGAAGATTCCCAATGGACTTCCATTTATTCATCGTGGGAAAACTCCATCGTGGGAAACTTCCCTTTGGCAACATCACAATCTACAATATCTCCAAGAATTGTAAGGGCCGCGGGAAATGTCGGTCACCAAGTTAAATAATTATTTGCAAAGAAAATATGGATATTTAAAAGACCTTTGTAAATTAAATCGTTTACTGTTACAAAATGGCATACCAACAGAAAGTAATTGGATAAGACAAAAATCAAATTCAAATGAAATAATGTTGAATTCATTTAATGTTGTAAATATTTTTATTGAAAAAAGGGCTGAATTATTTAATAATTAGATTCAGCTGACCAAC